TACTCTAGCAGTCACAATAGGTTAGATGCAACTGCATCCGATACAGAAAACAGAACATGTTGTTTCAAGGTCGCATAGCTATATGAATCTTAAAAACAGACAGCAATATTTATACAAGTCATAGAAAAATCACATTAGCTACACAACTGTCTCCCTGATATTAAAACCAAGTAATACTCTTTAAAAAAAATTGTTTGATTTGAGGAGATTGCTTACAGATGCAGTTGAAAATACCACATCTTTTTATAAAATTAAACCTAGATGAACAGCTGACATGTTTTTTTTTTTTTAATTTTGGATTCTAGCCCTAATAATTAAGAACACAAACAACAAAATTACAGGAGCATTTACCAAAACCAGGAAAAAGCACCAGGTCTCTTTTGTTCAGTATTTTCAAAGAGCAACACAGCCCTCTAGTGGAAAAATTAGAAAGTATGACTTTATTCATACAAACAGCATGCTAAGGAAGTATTTTCTCTGTAACCTAACTGTTTTATTTTAAAGGTCTCAACATCAAACAAAAAAACGCAGACACAAAACTGCACACTATCTTTAATTCCTCACAGTGGAGTAAGTCTTACTGACTTTAAGAGAACAAACTGACAATTTACGCTACTCATGTTTAAATGTACACAGAAGAGTAAGTTTTTAAAACCAGAAGGACTGATGCAACAAGACTAAACTGTTCACTAAGTCAGTCTTATTTCTTTTTATTACACCAGCTTTACCATGACCACAAGTTACCCGAACTTCTAATGTGATACTCAGACTAAAATTTTGATTGAGCTTAAAAAACAGACGAGATAAAAATCCAAAGAATATTTGGACTGCACTGTCAGAAGAACAAGCTTCCAAAGTTAAAAAATAAGAAAACTTTTTACTAATAACTCTTGATCTGCTATGATTTCTTTATATTGTAAGAACAGAATAATTCATTAACCTTTTCCAAGTTGCTAATGAAAACTAATGAAGTGTTTATAAATCTACTTTTTTTAGTACTTTTTTCCACACACACACACTTTTTGCAGCAATTTTAAGAACTAAGTTAAGAAAGTGGATATGTAATATAGGAAATTCTTACAGTCCATATTCCTCATCAGTAATGAAAAGAACCACCACACAGCAGATGTTAAGACAGACACGTTAAGAGAAATTAATGGCAATGAAGTAACATTTGAGAAGCCAGTATGTGTGATACCACTAAAACTCTACCACTGCTGAAGTCATCCAAAGTACTCCCTCAGTACTTGAGTAAGCATCTCTATTTTTCACAAGCTAAGAAGATTTTTCAACTATGAGAAAAAAAAAAAAATATTCCTGGCAAATTATGTTGGATTCCCTGTATTAGATTCACAAAGTCAATTAACATATCATTCCATCTTTGTTGATCTGTTTTTAACTTTGCTATCTTAAAGCAGTGTATAAGGACAAATAAAAAAATAACTTCTATGTTCATCCATCTTTCAAGGGATTCTCAGCATTTTCCAGATTTTATCTTGAGCATCCAGCAATGCGGTAATTGAAAATGCATTCTTCTGCATTTTCATAGATTGCAGTCTACCACACTTTGATCTTTGTTCTACCCATCTTGAAATGAGAAATTTCTCAACAAATGTACAGATACCATAAAGTTAGTTTCAAATACACCATTGAAACTAATTTTGGCAACAATGAAAGGGCTGAGTGATCTTTTACATTATTAAGTACAAATGTTCAACAAGTAATCCATTCTTTTTCAATCACTTTCTACTTAATGGACAGCAATATTTCCTTGGAAATATTTACACTAACCTCTTAAAGAAAGCATGTTAGTGTTCTGAAAACACAGTAATTGTTTACTTCTCAAAATACTCAGGGAAGGAAGTACTAGCTCCAAAATACACAGAAAGTTTAAAAGGAGTATTTACAACAGAAAGTGGAGCACAGCACTGAAATCCTAAAATAACTGGGGAATAAGCTCCAAAACTGGTAAGACTCTACTTGAGCTAGCTAATTAGTATTTCCACATCAGTCCCAAAGAATTGTGTAGACATACTAAAGCTCACAGGGATCTCCACACTGCAATCCATGACATGACACTGACACGTTCAAAGCAATTTGCCAAGAGTCACAAAGCATGGCTAGGAGTTAAGCTAAGACTGATTATATTTTAAAGACTCAGACAACAGAGTTTCAAGAAAACTTCAAATTCTGCCAATTATGTCCAAATTAATTGAACAAGAACGCTATTAGCCAACACCAAAGGGGGAGCATTCCCCTCACACAACACCAAGGAATTTGGATCTTGTTTTTCTCCATCAAACAGGTCAATCAGAAGTCATAACCAGTACGAGCCCAGCTCAGATTATATCCTCTCTCTAGAGAGATACCCTTTCTCTAGCCCTTAGAGCTAGGAAAAAAAGAACATAGATTACATAAGAAGCATAAACCCAAGAACTGCTTTCTCCTTAATCAATGCTCCATGGCAATTGGTAAGTAGTACCAGACACAAAGCCTAGGACTATAGCAATATTAAATCATAGAATCATAGAATGCTTTGGGATGGAAGGGACCTTTAAAGGTCATCTAGTCCAACCCCCCTGCCATGGGCAGGGACATCTTCAATTAGATCAAGTTGCTCAGAGCCCCATCCAGCCTGGCCTTGAATGTTTCCAGGGATGGAGCATCTACCACCTCTCTGGGCAACCCATTCCAGTGTTTCACTACCCTCATCGTAAAAAAATTCTTCCTTATATCTAGTCTGAATCTACCCTCTTTTAGTTTAAAACCATTACCCCTTGTTCTATTGCTATTGGCCCTGCTAAAAAGTCTGTCCCCATCTTTCTTATAAGCCCCCTTTAAGTATTGAAAGGCTGAAATAAGGTCTCGTTTCCGTGTTGTCTTCTCCAGGCTGAACAACCCCAGCTCTTTCAGCCTTTCCTCACAGCAGAGGTGCTCCATCCCTCTGATCATTTTTGTGTCCCTCCTCTAGACCCGCTCTAACAGGTCTATGTCCTTCTTGTACTGAGGATCTCAGAGCTGGACACAGTATTCCAGGTGGGGTCTCACCAGAGCAGAACAGAGGGGCAAAATCACCTCCCTCAACCTGCTGAGGTATGCAGGTAATGCAACACAGTATGGAAGAGTTTTGAGTTATGTAGGCCATAATACCACCTTAATCACATACCTGATACATCTCCTTCACAGTTATGGACTCCTTATGTCCTAACCTCATATAGCAGCACGAACCCAAGGCTTATTTCACTAACGTTCCCACTCTTCTTGGTATGCTTCTGACCAGGGGCAATGTCCTGCCCTCACCTACTAATAGAAATCAAGAAAGTATATATGTGTATATATAATCTGTGCATATATGTCACAAGCAAAGAAGCTCTGGTGCAAGGATATGCTCACTTACTTGTGATCAATCCAGATTATAAACTAAGGGAGAAACAGGGGGAAAAAATCTTGACAAAAGCATCATACATCTTGGATTAATCTTTTGCCATACATGAAGCACTTTCAGCTCATTCAGCAAGTCTGAATGGTAGCTCTTCTACTGCTGAAGGCAAATCATTTGAATCCAGGTAGTTCTTAAATGTTCTGAGACTGCACAGTTGCATACAAAGCAAATTCTACTGCTGAGTGCAATGTAAAGACATGCTGTACGAAGAATCTGGAACGTAAACCTTACTAGAAAACACAAATTCCTCAATGAGACAGGTAAGTAGAACACTTGCTGCCCTAACTGCAATACCAATCTGTAGTAGCATATCATGCAATGACAGCAGGACATGTGCTGTTAATGCTTAAATTGCAAGCCACAATAAAGCTCTAAACTCTTCATCTGACTCATGTGAGATAACACTCCCTTAAATAATTAAGAGGTAAAGACGAAGAGAATTCAGAGTGATAAGTCCTGCTATTAACCCATTTTCCAGAACATCTCCAAGGTTTTCCAATGTCCTCATAAATACATTTAAGTCAAGATCCTGCACTAAAAAAAAGACACAAAATCATTTGCATAAGGACTCTTTCAATATTGATGTAATCCCACCATAAAGAAAAATGCAAACCACAAAAGGGAACAAAAGATTAACAATCATCTAGGATTTCGGTAGATCCCCTCATTTACCAAAAAAGTTCAAATATAACACCAAACTACACCAGTGTTTTAATATTTGTGACTTCTCCACAAATTTAAGCCACAAAAAAGACATGCCCTGCGCAGGTTGCTGAGTGAAACTTCAAACAGCCTAGCAAATTAAGTTGGAGAAGAAATCCTGTCTTCTCAGAAGAAAGGCAAAGCCCCTAAGCACCAAAGCTTTATTATAAAATGAAACAAAAGCAGCTAATTAGAATCTCTCAAATACTCACCCACTATAGAAGTAATGCTATACAACAGATACCTAAACAAGCTGAGCGTCTAAAAGGATTTATGAACCTGCTAGAAAATACAACTAACAGGGATTTCAAAAGGTCATAAACTTTTTTTTTCCCCTAAAGGAGCATCGAATATGACATTCTGACACAAGTTCATCACCAAGTTGACTTGAAAACACCTTCAGAGATAAAAATTCCACAACCTCCTTGGAAAATCTTTACCTGAGTTTACTTACTGCCATTAGAAAGTTTTTCTGAATACTTTATCAGAACTCCCCTCCAGCCATACTCTGTGTCCTAGCCACCAAGATGATAAAAAGAAACTTCCCTTTCACAGCCATCCTTTCCATATTTACATAATGTAAAATGCCTCCATCAATACTTTTCTAGACAAAAGTCAATTGTTTCAGACTTGATATGTTTCCTGTGGCTCTCCTCAAAGCTCCAAATTCTCCACACTTTTTCAAAAAGCATTACACAAACCTGAAAAAAGTTTTCTAACTAGAGGTTTTATATTGATATAATGCAAACCAAGTTTGAATACCCAAAGTACACAGATATTTAAACAACAACAGATGTCAAAGTAGCCTGTAAGATAAAGGTTGCCATATTTTACCTTATGTGTAATGTTAACCTACCTATTCCTGAATTTGCTCCCGTGACTATAACCACTTTTCCACTCAAGTCACGACCCTGGAGTATTTCCATTGCAGTACTGTTCCCATCATATTTTTGTCTGGTAGTAGGTTTTACTGGATTGTCTTCAACTGTAAAGGCCAGTCTTGGGTCAAGGTAAGTAGTCCTTTTGTTTATATGGCTGCAAAAGAACACAAATATTCAACTGCTTTGACCCTTCTGTACTCTGCATTTAGATTTTAAATGTATTTCAACCACTGTAGTGTACAATTCCAGTGGATTATTTAAATTCCAAAAAATCAAATTATTTTTTTCAGTTTTGTTAAAATGATCCCAATTACTTCTTTTATCAACCATTTTTCCAACTGTGACAGTGTGCATTATTAACTGTATTCACGTACTTCATAACGCCATTGTGAACTTCATGCGAACGCCTGACATAGAAAGCAGAATTTTGTCAAGAGAAAAATCTTACTATATTAGGGAAGATCATGTTCTCTTAGGAGCTCTATGAAAGGGGCCTACACTACCCCCTTGAAACAATACACCAATGAGAAATGTAGCTCAGTACTTTTTTCTCAAACAACTGAAAACAAACAGCTTCACATCAGGTCAGCAAATGGCACAATTTGAGTCAGGCTCACCTTTCTAAAATGGAGTTTTAGTTTTCTTCAGACAATGATCAGAAAGACACTAAGCAACAACTTTCAGTCTTCAACCCTTAATTATAGGACAGAGAGGCTACACTTACTATTTTGGCCTGTGAATGCTCTTCATTCTGCCAAGTAAATTTAAGATAGCTACCCCATTTTGACCGTGCCATTGAAAAGATACAAAAGGAAATGTTCCCAGAAGTTTCCTTCTGCTTCTGAGAACCTCCTCCTCCCTTACCTTTCTAAAAATCTTTGCTAGCTCAATCCCTGTCCTGTTTTCTTTCTGTACTTTAGATTGCAAGTCAGTCAGAGCTGCAGCAAATTTGCTTTCGTCTTGTACGTTTAAAGCACTACTTCAATGTTAACAATCAGCCATGAAGTTCTGGATATGTTTTTAAAGTTATATGTACAGAGTTTATCCATAAAGGTATACAAACAAAATGAGCCTACATAAACATTGCCTGAGGGTCAGCTCACATTTTGAGATGTGGCTATTCAAGTCACTTCAATCTGCCACCCATGCTAGTATTTCTGTGCACGCGGAAGAATTCACAAAACCACAAACAGGTGCTTAGACACTGCTACAACTGTAATATCTGCATCTGGATTCTGAAGTTGTGCTTATTAATTTCTTTGTCTTTCCAGCTGATGCTGTCACAGTATTGTGATTCAAAAAGGCTACCTAACATGAAACACAGTTGTCCTACTTGTCCATATTCTGCATTTTTACATACTTACTCTACAAAATAGACTTGTCCATTTTCATCAGTCTCCTGCTCCCATCCATATGGCAGACCTAGGAAATACATAAAACATTATCTTTCTGCAGGCATTAGAGTACACTCAGATTTGAAGCTTAAGTGAATTCTCAGACAGAGGTGGCAAAATTCTGCATTATTTCCGTACATAATGCAGCTACCTGCTGCACTTGAATACTGGAACTTGAAAGAAGGATTGCTTCCCTAATCACAAGCAGCTGCTCTCTAATAAGAGTACAACATACAGGAGATCTGGCACACTGTAATGACTAGCATACTAAGTATAATCTAAAAATTCTTTATAAAGATTATTTCATGTTATAGCACAAACTGGCAAAATGCAACCATGCTTCCTAGTACATACACATATCTACATCGCACGCAGTTTAGTATCTATCCCTGATAAAGTAAATAGGAAAAAACATTGAACTAAATGTAGGAAAAGTTATATGTAACACATACCAAAAACTGGAAGATCATAACCCTCAAGTGGGTATGGGATACGTTAAATCAAAGTTGGAAGGACAGATGAACAAAAACAACAAATCTTTACAAAATAAATTCTTCTATAAAAGACCCTATGGAAGTACTTAACAGATAGCATTCCCAGTATTTCTAATGCTGGCTGAAAAGTATTCAATTATAATTCAATTGGCTCAAAACCTACTGAAAACATTCCAGTTAGTTACAGTCACATCACCAATGCCAAAAGAAATACTGCTTGCCAACAGTACAGTACCCCTATGTATGCCATATAGAAGCTTCTGGGAAGATCTAATTTAAGGCACTGATCCAAGGTCCTTAAGAAGTCATGTACCTTTGGAAGTGTCCTGCAACATTGGCTGTCTTCTGTTCTGGCACAAACATTCAATTGGGTTAGGGAAAACAAGTAAAATTAAAACTAATGAGACTTCCTTCTGTGCCAGGGATATTCTTTGATCAAATATATTCTTTGAAGAATATAATCCAACTATAAATATTATCCGATGGACACCAGGATATCAGAACCCAATCAGATAATTCCAGCCTTTGACTATACGCTTTACAAACCACAGTAAAACAATCCCTTTATCCCAGAATCAGTACTTTGGCTTTATGGAGCAATACAATAAAGCCAGAAAACTGCAACATGATCACTCTACACAGACAACAATCGCATAGGTAACACCCCACTGAAATCAGTTGTATTTTGCAAGCTCAGTTTGCCCAGGTGATTAGTATCAACTAGAAGATCAAAATGAGATCTAGTTCCTGCGCAAAATCCAACTGATGTTTGTAACACAGTTTCAGTTCCTTACAAAAGCTTAACACAAACCTCCTGCAACACGTTTCCTCTTCCCAGACTTAGGATGTTCCCACTGTGTTTTTTCTTCCAGGTGGCTGTAGGAAAACAAAAGTTTAAGATTTTTTTAAAATTGCCTAATAATTTTTTTTATGTAATCCAAAATTGTTTTTTTCGTACAGTAAATACAGTTTAACTACTTTTTTTTTTTAAATACAGTTCAGAAAATGGCTTGTCTTCCACAAAAAAAGAAACACGTCAATCCCTTGTTTAAGAACAGTCAAAACTGCTGTTAGAATTTATCAGGCTTCCATATTGCCACAGTTCTGAAAGAAAAGTAACTAACCAGAGAGCATAGGAGTCTATAAAAATTAAAATACATGTTTGAGTTCCAATCGAAGTTTTGTTGCTTACAATGAGAAGAAAGAAAATGCAGAAGTCATTAACGAACAACATTAACAGACTCATAAAATGTCTCAAAAAGATGGTGATCCTTCACAGGAAAAAGGAAGAAAGTAGCAAGAAAAGAATTTATCAGAAACTAGTAGCAATACTATTAGAAAGTTTTCAAATAACAAAACCACCTTTCTAAAATTCTTGTCTAATAATATTGATTTGCAAGCTGTAAGGTAAATAAGTCTGGATTTCTACATAAGCAATTGCAGCTTGGACAGATAAGTTTATCCAAAGGCTTTGACTAGCAGACTATTTATTTAATATGGGTGATAATGGTATCACATCCCTTCTTCCAATTCAGAGTCTTTATTCGCTTAAATCACAGACTTAATATACTCTATCATAAGGTTTTCAGCACTACAGACTAATAAGCAAAGTGACGTACACATAAACAGGGTCTTAAAATACCCCAAGTGCTGAAATCAGGTTGGATATTAAAATCTTATCTTTCATTAACTATTTTAAAATAAGAGTGTCCAAATTGATAACTGCCCAAGTATGAAATAAAGACTGACAGCATTATTGAATAACCGACACAAATAACCACTGAACTACAGATTTAGTACCAACAGCAATTTACACACAACATAAGCAACTTTTCCTCATTATAATAATCACGCAGTTAGCCCACAGTGACAGCACACTGTATTACAAGAATCACAGCTAGTGATCTGAGACTAAATAAGTACATCTGTGTGACTTGCAGTAGCACTTGAACTTCAGGACAATCATACACTAAAGATAAAAGATTCCGAGTTCCTTTCTGATGTGAGACACATAACCATAATTACCATAGCCTGACAAATAAAATCATGCCCACCAAGCTTCAGTAACAGACTGCGTCCATACCTAACTCATCACGAAGACCTTTAAAGGTCTTAAACCAAATAAACCCTATTACTTCTAAGTTTAGGGTTCATATTGTTGCTAAAGTTTAAAAACAAATTTCCAGAACATGCAAAGGTGTCACAGATATACAGCTTATGTTAAAGGCAGCAGTAGTGTAACACCTCTTCATGCCAAATATATTTAGGCACACTGGGCAAGATTTTCAGCTGGTAAAGATATACAAAACCAGAACTATTCAATTATTTGTTTGTGTAAAAACTACTCTCAGTAATATCTTATCATTTTGTAGGTTTGCTACTTTCACCACGCAATTCCTTTTTGAAAGAGCTTTGAAGTCAAAGGAAATATACAGAAACTTGACCTAAGAAAAACAAACATCTACAGAGAATTTACCGTGTTTATAAACTGAGTCCCGCTAAACTAAAGCATTCTGTCAGGTGTTTGTAAAGCAGAACTTGGAAAGAAGCTGCCAACTCACCACAGGTGAGAATACACTATACTTTGCCCCCTTTTTGTGGAAGGGAATAAATCTTGCAGCTTTAAACAGACTGAAACAGACTCCAAGAGCAGCATGGTTACAGAAACCACAAGAGAGAAGAAAATACATAAATATATATTCCACTAAGTTCGTCAGCTCTGTAGCACATCCCCTTTTGTAACCGGTGAGGATGCAATCATTTTCGGAGTGGCACAAGCAGATGGTGCCAAATGCAAATTTTTATCTCTTGTCAAAGCTGTGGTATACTGAAGAGCTGAGGGAGAGCATTTATAACTTTTAACTGCCCTGGTACCTGTTTCTTCTCGACGCGTACAAGGAGGAAAACTAAGAAAACTACAATATTGTGCATGGCTCAACCGCCCGTATATATAAAGATCACCCACAGAACCATGAAGTGTACCGCAACAGCAACAGCCGTGTGACAGCTCGCTCCTGGACCCAGGGCTGCCCAGAGCTGCTCCAGCGTCGCCCCCACTCGCGGCAGAGGGCCGTGGCTCCGCCCGGCGGCGGGCAGCGCCGCACAGACCTGCCTGCCTGCCCGCTCCGCTCCCGCTGCCCGCCGGCACCCGCGGGGCTCAGCTCGGGGAGGCCGGCGCCGGGAGAGCCCAGCCCACGCTCAACGCTCCCACGAATCAGGAGGGCACCACACGCGGAAACAGAGTCACACGGAGACCGGTCCCGCCACCAAGCCCGGCTCCGGCCCCAGCCGCCCCACGGCGGCCGCCCGCCCCCGGGCTAAAAGGCCGGGAAAGGGGGGCCCT